ATGTGCGCGAATTTGTATATCTCTTGCTCTGGGTACTGTATTTCTCCTTGTCAACAGATCAATCCTTTCTTTGGTTTAGCACCTCAAGTTATATAGTAGCAATTGTGTTTTGCAACTTGTTCCTCTCTTCTCTACATGATTTTCTTCATTTTGCGGTTAGAGCTCAGTATACGTGATTTTTCGAAGAATTTGTAATTTGTACATAGAGTGACCAGTTTGGTTCATTGGCATGTGCTCAGAGTACGGTGTGATATGTTAGAAGAAAGCACAGAAAATTTTGTGCAATTCCAATGAGGGAGACTGAAGTTACGTCCCGTTTGCCGATGCCGGTCCGCGAAGGCATAGTCCCACCTTGGACGGCCTTCTGTTTTGGGATGAAGGACAGACGAGATTGCACTTTCCTCGTGTATTGGGAACGATAGTTCACCTGTACCGGTAAGTTGCTGCTCCATGTGTGCAAGCACAGGAAGCGTCGATGGAAAAAGCCCATGTATTCGTGCACGCCGACACCAAACTAGCAATACATGTACCGGTACATTGTACAATTTGTACTTCGATTGAGTTCGAAGTAGTTCCCGAACTTACTTTCAACTCGCATCGTTCTTCATTTGCTTGATGATTTGGACAGTCAGAGTCACCGCTTGAAGTTATTCTCTTCTCGTTCCAGAGCTACACAATGTTTCAAAGTATTAGCCAGTGATCCCTTTATACAACATGTATGGCATAACACTGCGTAATAATGCCGATGTACTGGGTGTCTAAAGGCAGTACAGTGTATTTACATGTACTAAAAAATATATTTAAAAAAAAAATCCGCCCGCCCGCCCGTAAAAAAAATGTCCATGTTAGTCGAACCACACACCTTCTTTAGTTTGGCCTAACTTAGATTTTCTATAATAGTTCAATTTTTGTTTCAGTGTCCTGTAGTACAACGACGATTCCTGATGAGTGTTGTACGAAAACTTGTTTGAATCCATAATAATAATAATAATAATAATAATAATAATAAAGGTTTGCTCCCCACACCGGAGCTCGCGCTATTCCGCCCACTTTACTTGACACTTGACTGACTCACGACTGCCATCCAGAGCACACGAGAAGTCCATCGAACCTTCGACTCGGCAAACCTGCAAGAAAGCACCACTCCCTGCTCAATACACAGTGTTTCGGGGAATTCACCCCTCATCAGTTGAGCTTGAGTAGGCTGAGGAAGATTGTGCCTGAAGAGCACCACTTATATAGTGCTCTCCAGGCACAAACATCACCAGGGATACAAACTTACAGAGACGCTCCGCTTCCAGCGCGACAAACACCTCGTGAACACCAGATAGCAGCGTGAGTCAGTGTCGCTCCTGGACGGTGAGACAGACGTCGAGGACCCTCGGTCATTCGCAACGCTGTCACCTCCAAACCAACTAGTCGCAAGCCCGCGCTGGGCACAACAGTACGAAGTAGTGGTTGCGACTTCGGCGATGATTTGTAAGAAAGGTTTGCTCCCCACACCGGAGCTCGCGCTATTCCGCCGACTTTACTTGACACTTGACTGACTCACGACTGCCATCCAGAGCACACGAGAAGTCCATCGAACCTTCGACTCGGCAAACCTGCAAGAAAGCACCACTCCCTGCTCAATACACAGTGTTTCGGGGAATTCACCCCTCATCAGTTGAGCTTGAGTAGGCTGAGGAAGATTGTGCCTGAAGAGCACCACTTATATAGTGCTCTCCAGGCACAAACATCACCAGGGATACAGTCAAGTGTCAAGTAAAGTCGGCGGAATAGCGCGAGCTCCGGTGTGGGGAGCAAACCTTTCTTACAAATCATCGCCGAAGTCGCAACCACTACTTCGTACTGTTGTGCCCAGCGCGGGCTTGCGACTAGTTGGTTTGGAGGTGACAGCGTTGCGAATGACCGAGGGTCCTCGACGTCTGTCTCACCGTCCAGGAGCGACACTGACTCACGCTGCTATCTGGTGTTCACGAGGTGTTTGTCGCGCTGGAAGCGGAGCGTCTCTGTAAGTTTGTATCCCTGGTGATGTTTGTGCCTGGAGAGCACTATATAAGTGGTGCTCTTCAGGCACAATCTTCCTCAGCCTACTCAAGCTCAACTGATGAGGGGTGAATTCCCCGAAACACTGTGTATTGAGCAGGGAGTGGTGCTTTCTTGCAGGTTTGCCGAGTCGAAGGTTCGATGGACTTCTCGTGTGCTCTGGATGGCAGTCGTGAGTCAGTCAAGTGTCAAGTAAAGTGGGCGGAATAGCGCGAGCTCCGGTGTGGGGAGCAAACCTTTCTTACAAATCATCGCCGAAGTCGCAACCACTACTTAATAATAATAATAATAATAATAATAATAATAATAATACACAGAGGCAATATGCTTTGGTTCTGCAAGAGTGCTCAATGCCTGATTCAGGCAGAGCGGCGTACACAAAGGCACACAATGAAAACCTTGGCAAATTATAAATTTGCCAAGGTTTTCATTGTGTGCCTTTGTGTAATAATAATAATAATAATAATAATAATAATAGTACAAAGACGCCGCTTTTTTCCGACACAGACGCCTACCTCCTGTAGATGAATACTGGGGGGCGCCAGCCACCCCCCCCCCCCAACTTTTTGGAGGATGTAAGGCCGAAGCTCGGCCGCAATCCCATAGTACTGTAGGAAACCATAGAATCAGCCAATCAGCAGCCGTTATTTCCGTGGAATATGTATAGGATATTACCCAAGTACGAGGGTGTTACCTCCCGAATATCATCCTGACTGTGTAGCAGGAGGGATGATATGAGGGTACGGTAACACCCGAGTACACGGGTCAATATCCTACTTATCCCAGGTACATCTACGCATTTTGGGGATCGACGCAACTGCGTCCTGAATACAATTACCAAGGTACAGCTATACCAAAAACAAGACGCTGTCTTTCTTTTCAATCCAGTCAAGGTTTGAGAGCGATGGAGACAAGTTGCATTAATTTTAGTAGTTGGACTAGAGAATTATTTTAACGAAGATTGCACTGTTATTATTTTATGCAGTATTGACGATCACTGTGATGATACATTTGGTTCAAAGTAGGTAAGGGCCATACTTCAAGTCACGGCGAGATACAACATCATTATGAATTTATGGATGCTGGTGCTGACTTCCTTGTCATTGGATGGGCGTTGAACTTTGAACGGTTTGGGATCCTCGTTGCACACTTTCCGTGCAGGCAGTAACTATATTGTACATATCGTCGGATCTTGGCACCAGTGAGTAAGGACTTAAAAGTGCATTTCGTTGTATCAAGACTCTTGGTTGTATCCCTATCGGCCACTATATGCAATCAGTAGAACGTTGACCTTGTTTTAGGCATACTGGATTTGTAGCAGCATCTGCGTTTTAGATTGTTCTTGTGGTAATCGTACTGGATACAGTGTCATGATAATCACTGCAGGTCACATCTTGCATGCAGATTTCTTCACAATATCTACATCACACATGCATTGCTGAGCTCTTCTTTCACACAATATTCTGCACAGGGTTTTTCCTCTCACTAACGTGACTTTGACGTCCTGTACTTTTCGTGTTGTTACGGTGTCTCTCCTTGCACCTGCAAATAATTACAAGTTAGTCTTGTAGTAATTTTCACTCGGATGGTGATACTTTGTGTAGTTTTCGAGTTTACAAAGAGTGAATGAGAACTGATACACTTCGAAGTCTCCTTTGTGTCGTAGTGTTGAGTTGAATAGTGATTGGAGTTCGTTGTTCGTTTGTGTGGAATCTGGTTGCGTTGTCGCGGAGGTAAATTCTCTCAGTTCAGTGCTGCACTTTTACTGTAGATCTACCGACCTTGCACTTTGCATTGGCATGCTCCCACCTCACGGTTCTGTGTAGTGCATTTTTTAGGACTCCAGTGGCAAGATGCATTGCATCGAATCGAGAGGGGGTCGGTGCATGCCAATCAATGGTGCACCGTAGGTACGGTAAAAGTGAATATCAATCCCGCGCGGGATTGTATTGGCTATTATTTCTGGTCAGCAAGGCTCCTGATTGGCTGAAACAGGCATATCGTACCGTACCATGGCCGCATGGGATAATGTATTCTACCCTGCTTTTTACTGAAAACACTGTCTGCATGACCGCCGAACCCTTTACCATGCAGATCACCAGCACTGATCAGGTGCATTGTGTAGCCTACATACTAGAACTGTGATACACTCATACCTCTCTTATCCGGGCGCTCCGGGACCGGACACTGCCCGTAACTTCGAGGGTGCCCGTAACTCCGAATCATATACATCTTGATGGGGAAAAGGCCATCGATATGGCATATGACGTCAATATTTCTTCGAAAAGTGACAAAAGAGTAGTAATATTTCCCCTGAAACTCGCCCAAATAGTGCCCGGTAGACCGAAGTGCCCGTAACTTCGAAGTCCGGATAACCGAGGTATGAGTGTACAATCATGTAGTTATGCTCCTATCTCCGAAAGGATGCCAAATTATGCTCCAAATTTTGAACCACCAAATTATGCCAATAATTATGCGGCATAATCCACCAGTGCCTAATTTGGTGGCAACGGCACGATCTAGGGTGAGGCTAGGCCTTGGCGGATAATGCCGGCAGAAAAATTGGCAGAATTAGGTACTTTTTCTGGTGAGTTTCATGCATGTTTGGTATGTGGATAAAGAAATGGAGCAGAATTCGAGGAATTGCCCGCCATAAGGTTTGTATGGTTCTGCCAATTTCGGTGCAAAAAAAGAAGAATCTGCCACCTTTTCGAGCATTATCCGCCAAGGCCTAGGTGAGGCCCATTGGGTGCACAACAGTTCCCTATGTGAATACTTTTGAGTTACAGTAGCAAGTAGATTAACGATTTCATTGATGAACTGACTATGGTCGGTTGTCATCTGATAAGCTGTACTTTGAAGGAGGAAGAGCAGAAGAATGCAGGCTTGTTTATTTGAAAGATAAAAAGCCTGCATTCTCCTCCTCCTCCTCAGTTGATACTCCGTCTCAGTCAATGTACTGAATCACTTGTGAAAGGATTAGTTTATCGAGTCGTAAAATTATGACGTTCTGGGCCAGTCACCCATTGTCAGAAAGTCTTTGTTACAATACTACTTGTAAAACATACAGGTTTGGAAAGAAAGTGAGTCTTGTTGAGAGAGGTTACGTTTCAAAGAGCGGGTCGTGTGTGCTGCTCAAGCTCTGTCTCAGATAGCTAACATAAATACTGCATTGTTACTGGGACTGTTAAGTCTATACTCATAGCTATTCATCGAGTGACATCAGGATGTTTGAACAGTTGGTCAAGTTACGAGTCGATGCTTTCGGTACCGGGTGACGTTGTTCGTCTCTGCACATCTGACGCTGGCTTAGCAGTGGTACCTGTTGCAGCAGAGTGCTGCTTTAGTGTGACCTCTTCACGAACAGCGCTGTTTGACGAGGAGCGATGCACACATGCGCGCGCGCACACACGCACACATGCACACACACACACACACACACACACACACACACACACACACACACACACACACACACACACACACACACACACACACACACACACCCTCACACATAAAACAAAGAGAAAGATACAGAAACATATGGACAGAGAACAGGGAGAAGCAGAAAGAAAGATGGTCAGATTCGATTCAGTATTGGTTGTTGTGTTGTGTGTGTGTGGTGGTGGGGGGGAGAGGGAGAGAAGTTGAGAAGCATTCCATCTAGTGTTGGTTTTGAATGCCCACCAAGTATTGTTAATCCACATAATAATACACTATTTAAAACCACTTTGTCAGACCAGGCATTTCACGAAATCTTCTCAACAGTAAAACTAAGCAGAAGGACACAGTTCAGGTTCTTGAACAACATTGTGAAAAGAAATTACCAACACAATGTGGGAATGGCCGCTTACTGGAGAGGCAGGTCTTTCCTCAACATCGGCTGAGACTGCACCAAGTCCACAATCTGCATGGCTGGTTTGCTCTCAATGGGTGACGTGGGTAGGAATCCGGCTTGTTTGAACGGCATGATTGTAGCCCTACAACGGAAAGAGCGAAGGGAGAGGGTATAGGCAACAGTCGCTATACTCCTTTCTAGCCATGCTCGCAGTAAACGCTCTGTGCTAAATAGACAAGGCTAGGAAAATACCGTATTATCTCTAATATATGCACAGTCTCCAATAATAGCACGTCTCCAATAATAGAACACCTTGGGGCGGCATTCAAACAATAAAGTGCTCAGTCTCCATTATAAGCACACTGTGTAAATTCATTATCTGTACCGGCGAAAAAACCCCTGAAATGTGTGTGTCATACATGAATTTGGCATGGCAACATGCCTCTGAAATGAGGTTGAAATAATAATGGAACAGTCTCCAATAAAGGAACGTCTCCATTAATAGCACAGGGCGGAGGTACATTGAAAAAATAAAGGACTGTGCTTATATTAGAGATAATACGGTAGTACCTAGCAGGAACGCACAATTCAAGTTCTTCAACAACATTTTCAAGAGTAAACGTTCATGCCTTCTCTTCAGCTAATACACAGGCAAGAGCGAAGGAACAAAGACAATGAATTTTGCACTTAAAATGCAAATAAATGGGGCATTCTGCCACTATTCCAGATCCAATTAGAAGGTAGCAGCGACAGTTTTACACAAAAGGGAAAACAACATCGGATGAGTAGACCTTGGCTGTGGCCAAGTTTCAGATAACTCCTATCTGCACTATACCGACAGACACATTATCTGTTTTATCTGCACTTCCCAATCTTCTGTACGAGTATTATGCTGTTCGTAAAAAATGCTTCGCAATCCCTAAAAAAAGCCGAGCACTACTTTTGGTGCAGACATGAAAATTCAACTTCTCCTTCATGTACGGGCCATGTGGTCTGAGTTGACTGATATACTCTTCTTTAAAATGTCTCAACAGCTTGCTGGTCTGTTGTCGAGAGAGTTAGAAGCAGACTATGTTGGCTGGCTTAGAGTAATGTGGTTCAAGTGGAAGTTCAACTATACGTTCAATGATGCCTCGGACGAAAAATGAAGATCTGGAATACAAAACTCACTAAATCCTTTTTTTGTTGATTTTCAGTTGACCACTAAAGTAATCAGCTCAATGAGTGCTGCTAGTTTATACAGTATTTACCTGTATCTTGATTTTTCTGGTGCTCAGTGAGCTTTGCATTGCAGCGCTTCATAACGATTTGTAATTATTGCCGTTGAGTCAATGTGGAAAGTTGAAAGCAGACTATGTTGGCCAGCGTAGAGCATAGTGGGTGACGAAGAAGTTAACCTCTACATTCAACAGCCCCTTGCACGGGAAGATTATGATTGTTTCCCGTGAATCAAACACGGCAAAATGTTTTCCTTTCTTATGTACATGTAGGTGTAACAATACCAGCACACACCCATTGCATGCAACCCGGGACTCACTGATCATAAGGTCGTATCATGGCAACGGGCTTCCTTCCCAGCGTATCGGCATTGCTGCACAGGAGAACACACAAGCATTGTGAGTCATTGCAATACTGTACACTGAGACATAGCGCTCCAGAGCTCAGTGTTACTTCCAAGCATCTCAGAGATAACCACCAAGACAGCTACTGAATACAACCTCTGCCCCCCAAAACACACATGCATGTATCCTGTGAACTCAATTTCTCCGCGGGTCAACAGAACAGAATGCCAAAGAGGGTCAAGACACACATACACATGCACATGCACACACATGCTCGTGCATACACACACACACACATACAAACACACACATACAAACACATACAAACACAATTTAGTGGTGAAACGAATATTCGAATATTCGAACATTCGTTCGGTTTGTCACATTCAAATATTCTTTAAGTCACATTCGAGTATTCGTTACGTCGCTTCGAATGCAGTGCATGTATATACAAGCACGCCGAACACAATACAGTGCAGTGCGTACAGCCTGCCTGCGACTTTGTACTCCATGTTTGCACATGTATGTGCATACTGGACTGCGAATGGTGCACATAACATGTATGAACTTCGAAGTAGTCTTATGTGGCACTACCGTTTGTCATACCTAATAATAATGACAATATCCATCAAATGACTGAGAGGAGGGCATGTGATGGCATCTCTGTTACCAAAAGAAATTAAAGAATATTCGTACGTTCGTTCGATAAGCCAAAGAATATTCGGTTACTAGGTTTTGACATTCGTTTCACCACTAAAACACATACAAACACACACAAGCACACGTATACACATACAGTCAAACCTCTTTAGGACGAACACCAAGGGACCAATGATATTTGTTCGCAATAACGGGAGTTCTTCTTATCCATATTATGTTTTACCCAGTGAATACACAGGGTTTTATCCAATACAGTTACGAATACTAGTTCTTCTTAGGCAAACTTTTGTCTTATCGGTGTTCTTCCTAACCAGGTTTCACTGTATACACACACACACACACACACACACACACACACACACACACACACACACACACACACACACACACACACGTGCACACACCACACCACACACACGTGCACACATGGTTGTATGCACGCACGCACACACACGCACACTCCAGCATTCTAGAAACTCACAAGCTATCTCTGTGCAGCGCCAGGTTGTCGAGGTCGCTTTCACTGACTGATGATGTCGTTGTGGCTGTCGAGTCCCTGGGTGATACGTACATATGCATGGCATTGACTGTGACGTTGCACGGTGGAGTCATGCTGAATTGAACAGAAGAGCACAAGAGAGCAACACAATCATCACAAATGAAAAAGTACATATTTATTAGGATGAGGGAGTTGAAAGTACAGTTCAGAAATCTATGTGGCTACCGGCTATACGATAGCATTTATGAACAAAACCAGCTGGGAGAAGTTGTGCTTGTGCCAGGCCACTGCCATGCCTGACTATACCAAGGTGGCGGATGCAGCATATAATGGTGGGGGTGAGTGAACCATTGTATGCTGGAAAGAGGGTGAAACCTTGTTAGCTCCATACCCAGTGGAACATAGGTGTCGGCGTAGCTCATTGTGTTACAGGTAAAGTGGCACATCATGAATGTGTGTAATGTTTTTCATATCATGAATGTGGTCGTAGAAAAGACTGTAAGTGGACTTGGACACAATGTAGAAGATCAACAGCTCATGTACAGTAAAATCTGTCAAGGCGACCACTCGGAGAAGGCAACCACCTGTCCCAGACGACCACTGCAGCCAGTACCAAGGGATGCTATTTCCAGTCTCTAGATAAGGAGACCACCTGGTAACAGAGACCACACTTAAAGTCTTTGAAAGTCCCTCGAGCGGTCGTCTTAGACATGTTTCACTGTGTTATGCAATGATTATGCAACGAATGTGTGTTACTTACGGTGTTAAAGGTTCACCGTTGATGGCGTTGAGGCTGCAAAGAAAAGGTAGACAACATTGGTAGATGCACGGTGAATAACACAGAACCATAACACACAAACGAGCGAATATACACACACTGTAAGCATGTGTAAGTATCATGCTTGAACAGTGATAGAGAGGAAAGAAAACTCCTCATAATTGCAACGCAGGATCAATGTGGGACATTGAACACATTGGAGGAAGTAGCAATTTCTAATTGACTTAGGACTTTTTCGAAATACACAATTACAGTATTGTTGGAAACACTGCTCGAAGGAAATCACTTACACAACATAAGGGTGTTTAGCTCCCGGTTTGGGACCCGTGTGCGGTGGCATTCCGGGTAGAACAGAGCCTTGCAGCATCGTGTTGATCGGAGGAGGAGGTCTGCATTGAACACAGTACACACGACGTACACACGATTAGCACGCACAGGCAATGGCACGGCGGGAGGGGGGGGGGAGGGGGGAGGGGGGAGGGGGGAGGGGGAGGGGGAGGGGGAGGGGGAGGGGGGGGGGGCACTTGCTACAGCAGCCAATCAAGTTCCAAATGCAGTAAAACCCGTGACTAACGACCACCCCTTTGGTGCCAGAGAAAGCGGTCTTTAGTGGCAGGTGGTCCTTGGTTAGAGGTTTGCACCGCGCAACCATTATGATGTGAGGCCGTCCGTGCCTGGCGAAGTGGTCTGTAGTACCTGGCTGGTCGCTAGTCACGGTGGTCTGTAGTACCTGGCTGGTCGCTAGTCACCGTGGTCTTTAGTTACAGGTTTTTTTTGCTCTCAGAAGTACTGACATGCCCTGGATGAGATTGCTGAACACTGAAACAAATTTAGAGTTTCCCGTGAAACCCAGTCAGATTGAGGTTTCAGCATCAGTAGAAACACCATCAAGCCTCAAGGGTCAAGGCGCTGATGCAGCTCCTAAAGCGGTTGGACATGAGTAGATCAGACTGACCACCACATGGACAACGTACTGCAGCCTAAAACACGTGATAAGCTGAAAGTAACTGTACCAGCCGAGGGAAGATAGCTGCGGTGCATAGCAACAGTTGGCTCTTCAAATACATGTGAAAGCAGTGGCTAAGTATGGGCAGAGACAGACTTACACCCTGCGCAAGCCACCAAACATGCTCGAGGATGGTTGATGCTGGCTGTCTTGGACCAGAACATTCTGAGGACTGGTGTACTTGTGACGTTTGTTTTGCCGGCCACTGTAAGAGCAGACAATAGCAAACAATGAAACACAATAGCAGGCAGAATACATTGCAAGTTCAGGAGCAGCAGCGGTGTCACGGGACAGTGGAAAGTAGTAGTATAACCGTAGGGTCCGGGGCGTCCTCTGAGAAAAAAATCGGCTTTTTCGCCCAGCAGTGTACGTTTTAGCACCCTTTCATTGCTTTTTTGGATGAATTGGGCCGACCATCCTGGATGATAACTGGTACAAACATGGTCGTACTGGTCGTACCGCATGTGATGCCGCCGGAGAAAGCAAAATATTTACTTTGGCAAACTGCACACGCTACGAAATAGTGGTTGCTTTTTTTGCTTGCTTTCTTGCAGGTTTGCCGAGTCAAAGGTTCAATGGACTTCTCGTGTGCTCTGGATGGCAGTCGTGAGTCAGTCAAGTGTCAAGTCAAGTCGGTGGAATAGCGTGGGCTCCAGTGTGGGGAGCAAACCCTTTTCAAACTTCACACCTTAGTCATTTTGGCTTACACACTCCTCGGGTACCCAGAGCAAAACACTGGAATGCTACTTCAACGTAGATTGGATGCTATTGTTGCAGTTGACTGCGTGAGCCGGTCAGGGTTGCCATGGCAACTGGGTTTAGGCTGCATGTGTAATATGCTGCATTGCCTGGAGCGTAGCTACTCGGGTCACGTCTATACGGTCATGACACCGCTGCAGCTCCAGCAGTCACGAACAGACGGAAGATCATTCTCCGGCAAATTGTCGACAATGGCTGCACTCGTGCATCCTGACACGCATGTGTTCCCGAAACCGCATCCACGCGCAGGTGCAAGCAAACAGGCATGCGTTAATGCATGCCTGTTTGCTTGCGTGAATACTCTGTAGAGTTTAGGCTGGCTAATTGCGGTGAGGAAAACCTGCATTATCAGTAGAACATGTTCTGGGCAAGCCTGATTTGCACCTACCTTTCATAGAGAATGCTGAGTGCGATCTTGGGTTTCTTGTCTGACTCGCTAGCACTGTGGAGCAAACACAGAAGGAGGGTTCAAAATAATAGCTTCAAATACAGAATGACGGTGAAAAACATGCTATCATATCGGCGTACAGCGATGAACACAAACTGTGAGCATAAAGAATTAAAAAAAAAAACTGCTGTGGATGAGAATCACCAACAGACAACAGTACAAGAGTACAACAGTACAAGAGTACAAGAGTACAAGAGTATTTCCTATCCTGTTGATGTATTAGCAGACTAGGTTATCTGCCACCTTCACTGTTTCGATTTCACCGACTTTCACAAACTGCTCTTACGAGAAAAATGCAAGTCAGCCCAGTGTCAGCTTACACGGGTACTGCTATTTCTCACAGGTGACTGGACTGTGACTAGTCACTTGATCGATCGTACGAATTTGCTGGCCATGTGACTGTGATCGGTCGTGTGACTGTGATCGGTCATGTGACTGTGATCGGTCATGTGACTGTGATCGGTCATGTGACTGTGATGTTATAAGTCATGAGACTGTGATACGTCATGTGACTGTGATCGGTCAGGTGACTGTGACAAGTCATGTGACTGTGACAGATCATATCGTGGGTGGTCATGCGACTGTGATAAGTCAGTTGACGGTATATGTCGTGGTCATGTGGTTGGTTCTGAGATTGATTATGTAACTGCTCTTGTGAGGGATCACGTGACTGTTCATGTGATCAAGCAAGACCAAGACACATAGCATAGAGTTTGCTTTACCTGGCATAGATGGGATTGATCCCAGTCTTGTGCTGAGCCTGGCCAAATGTCCTGCTGTCCAATGAACTCCTGCAGTGGAAATAGATCACATTGCAACAAAGAAAGTGAAATGTGGATTTTGATTCCTGAAACCGTCCCCGGGTGTTGAGCAGCAATAACAGTAGGCCAGGATCAGAGGTGATGGGGAGGGTGGTGATTTTCCATGCAGCAATTATCCCATACTGCTATGCCCACTGCCCCAATATACCTGCATGGGAATGAAACCCACTGTTTCATACTACAGGTCCTCCCTCGTTAGTAGATAATCTCTGGGCCATCGAAAAAGTTGTCTTATAACGATACTTATCTTGTAGCAGGACTTGCAGCTAAGGCCACCCTTTGTTAATTCATTGTTTAACGTCCTTTTTTTCACGAAAAGGTACGCGGGAGGGCGGAAAAAAACAAAAGCCCATTCCAAAAACTGGAAACCCCAATCAAACATTTTGACCAGTAAAGCATGTGATATATACAATATTTCTGGGTCTAACGGCACTTGCAGGCATAGAACAACACTCTTTGATGGTACATTGGAGCACATGCCTGATGAATCCAACAAAACAGGTACATAGCATGGCGTTAGCATGTCATGAATTCATTACATCTGGATTTTTACTAGGACACACACCGTACCATATTTAAAAGCCAACAAAAAAAGAAAAAGAACACAAGACAAAGGCATGCCCGGGAGGCAAGATTATAAGTTTAAGGTCATGATCGGCACACTGTGAAACTACACAATCATGTATTTACAACTTCGCATATTATTGGTACTACTACTTTCTTGTTTTTTTTTCCGGTCGGAGGCAAAAAGGTACGCGGGCGCGGACGTTAAACAACGAAAAAAGAAAGGGTGGCCTAAAGGTGGGCAGCTCCTTCCCACTTGAATCGGCTGGACTGGGTGCAGGAGCGAGCCATTAAGGCAATACATCCGCAATGCTGGCTTCCTAGCCTCATAATTCGCCGCACCATCGCTGCCCTCTGCCTCCTGTATAAAGCCCTTTGCGATAATTCTCCCGCTCTTCTCTCGAGAATGGCTCCACCCCCGACACACCAACCCAGGACCACACGCCTCACCCGCCAGGCTGTACGACTGTCCACCGCGCATCCCCATCAGTTACAGAATGTTCTTCCTGCCAATTCCCGGAACAATGTGAGCCGAGCCTTTCCCCACTCCGTCATCCCAATTTGGAACCAGCTGCCTACCTCTATCATTCCCCACCCATTTCACCCAAAGAACATCCAAAAGTTCAAGACAGCAGCTTATCACCATCTCCTCAGAACGAACTGGAACTGGGCCACTCATAGCATACGCGAGTAAGAGGGTACAGTGTCCTACCCTGCTTGGACATACATGTAATCTCTCCTCACGGACAGTCTCCTCTTGAATTTAAAAGTCTAACAGCGTTCACATCAATATTCAACTTATTCTTTTGCTCACTGAGCAATACAATCTTTCCATTTTCTTTCTTCTGTTTTCTTTTTCAATTTAATCCTCCCCACCCAATATCCCTTTGGTGCGTCCATGGAGCTATGAAGCCGAGACCTCTGGTCGGCGGAGCTTAATGGGCCCCACCACCACACTCCATCATTCACCCCAGTGTCTGGAGATATGTGGATTTTGTAGAGAAAAAAAAAAAAAAAAAAAAAAAAAAAGGTGAAATAGGCACTACTTCGTACTTACCGGGGCTATCCTCGATACAACATAAATTATCGATGCTTTAACTCGTTATAAGATAATTGAAAATCTCCAAGTTACTCCAACATAACTCTTCCTTGGATGCAAAGGATCGTCCATATTCACGAATACATAGACATAATACATTTCCTCTTTCTGCTTTATCCTACGTGTTTTGGCCTTGGTCCTGCATGGTCAATATTATCTTATACTGAGGGTTTGGCACTCCAGGGACCTGGGAAAAGGGTTGTTATGACGAATTTTATGTACTAACGGATTATGTTGTAACCGGACCTGTAAACAGTTGTATAGACCACGTTTCGCCAGGGGATTTCAGATTTATATTTACTAACGGGGTTTATTTAGTAACCGGACTCGTTATAATGAGGGAGGACCTGTAATCTGGTTTTGGTCCAGACACACGCGGTTTGACGGGCGTGAAATCGTTAGCCTTTATGGCCTCACTCAGTGCGTTAGCTGAAACGTCCATCAGCTCATCAATACACAGCGTCCGTACTCACTAGCCAAACGAATCTTCATGCTGGTGGCCAAGGAAATTCACCATTAGTTGAGCGTGACATCCTACATCTGCGAAATTGACAAAATAACGAAACTCTAAGGCTCAATCCTGAAAATGGGGGGGGGGAGAGGAGGGGGCACCTTACACTATGTTTGAGGAAAATAGCGCTGTCTGAAATATGCGCAACATCATTTCAGATCTATTGTTTGGAATTTTCAAATTGACTGAAATTTTAGGGCTCACAAA